TCTACAAATACATATATAGCATCATGACCTGTATCGGTCCTAGGCAAACCCATGATAAAATCCATCGAGATATCCGCCCACGGCTGACTGGGCACTGGTAAATTCTGCAAGAGACCAGTTTTTAGCTGGCCGCCTTTAACTCGTTGGCAGACGTCACATGACTTGACAAACGCCTTTACATCCAGTCCCATTCTGGGCCAATAGAAATATCTAGCGAGTCTGAAATAGGTGCGATCTCGACCGGGATGCCCCGCAGTCACACAGTCATGGTATTCTTGAAGCAGGGCGAGTCGGAGTTTGCTACTCTTTGGAATGCATAACCTGTTCTGTGGTGAAGATCTGAGATAAAGATAACCGGGTGTTTCATTTAGAAGGTAACGGTCGTGCAGATTGTCATGGCTTGAATTTTTCAGTCTCCTGATAATGGGAGCAAGATCCTTGTCGCACTTGTAACCGCTGACAATTAACTGCGCTAAGTCTGGATTAATCTCTAGGGTATGCTCTATGGCATTCAACTGAATGTTAGGAGGATAGGATGACCCGCCTATTTCAGAATCACTGAACAGATCTGGACGGCGTGAAAGCGGGTCGGCAATGTTTTTCTTTCCTGGTTTGTGAAAGACCGTAAAGTCATAGTCAGCTAAAAACTCTACCCATCTTGCCTCACGCTTGGTGAGAGTCGGTTTGGTTCGTAAATAGACAACACCCATATTATCAGTCATCAGGTCAAAGTGGCGGAATAGATAGATTCTCCAGCACTTTAATGCAAATACCACAGCCAACGTTTCCCTCTCGGCCGCAGTATAGTTGCGTTCTGCAGCTGACAGTTTCCGACTACAATAGGCTACGGGATGCAAATCCATATCTTCTCCCTGCTGCAGGAGCACACCCGCCACGGCAAAGTCACTTGCGTCAGTTTCTACCATGAAGCTTTTCTCAACATCGGCCAGTTGCAACACTGGCGCCTCGAGTAATGCTGATTTTAGAGACTCGAATGCCTTCTGTCTAGCAGCGCTCCATTCAAAGCGTGAATTTTTTCCGGTGATTTCTTCTAATGGACGAGAGATGGTCGAGTGTCGATCTATGAACCTTCGGAAATAGTTTGCAAAGCCAAGAAACTTCCTCACATCAGTTACTGACGACGGAGTTGGCCATGTTTCCACAGCACTTATCTTCTTGGGATCAGGGGAAATTGATGTGCCGTTGATTTTATGCCCCAAGAAGAGAACTTCTCTCACGCCGAATTCGCATTTAGACTGTTTGCAATACAGCTCACTATTTCTAAGTGTTTCTAGAACTGTTTGAAGATGATGCTGATGATCTTCCCAGGTCTTGCTGAAAACTAGAATGTCATCCAAGAATACTACAACGAATTTTCGGAGATGCGGTTGCAGAATAGAGTTCATGAGTGACTGAAAGGTGGCCGGGGCATTAGTCAGCCCGAATCCCATGACTCTAAATTGGAAGTGGCCGAACGGCGTATTAATGGCCGTCTTAGAAACATCCGAGTCTTGAATTCTGATTTGATTGTAGCCTGACCGCAAGTCCAACTTGGAGAAATATGCACTGCCCTGGATCGTGTCGAATAAGTCATCAATATTAGGAAGACAAGCTTTGTTTTTGATCGTAATTCTATTCAATTCTCGCCAATCGCACACCATTCTCAGAGTACCATCCGACTTTTTCACAAAAAACACAGGTGCACCGTATGGCGACTTACTTGGCTCAATGAATCCCTTCTCAAGTAATTCTGATAGCTGTGACTGGAGCTCGTCCATCTCTGGTTTCGGCAGGCGGTAGGCGGGTCGAGACGGTGGTCTGGCTCCATCTTCTATCTGGATTTCATGGTCGACTGGTCTCTTCGGTGGAAGCTCATTCGGCAGCTCGTCTGGAAATAAATCCTGGTACCTCTTGAGCAGGTTCTGGATGTCTTGTTGCTCTGATTCCTGGAGTTGTGGCCCGGAACGATTCTCCTCGTTTGCAGCAGTGACCCATGCAAGAAACCCCTCGGCTCCACTCCTCAGGGCATGACGAGCTTGTCGGCCACTGATAAACATGCTTTCCACAGATGGCCGGTCGGCTGTCGGCGGGTTAGCTGAAGGCAATTTGGCAACAAAGGGCTCACCGTCCAACTGAACTTCGTTCGTACGGAAGTTGATGCTGGGGTTGTTCCTTGTAAGCCACGGCTTGCCAAGAATAGCGTCGTAGCGAGTCAGGGGATACACAGTAAAGTGCTGTTCCTCACTGAAGCCCCCGACTGTCACCCTTAGCGTGCGTGTGGAAATCTGCGGGACCTCGCTGGTCGAGCCGTCCGCCAATGTTACGCTCAGCACTGCTGAGCTTGCATCCGTGTCAAGATGATGCTTTCGAACAAAACTGTCTGCAATGAAGTCATGCGTCGAACCGGAATCTATCAGCATCACTGCACGGCGACCGCCGATCTTTCCCTGTATGCGCAGTAGGTCGTGTTCAGGTTCATTGCCGACGCTGACGTTGCTGACATGACACCTTTCTGCAACGGGACAATTTCCTACAGCTATGGGTGTCTCCGGCTCCGTAGGTTCCTGGAGAGCAACGTCTTCAACCTCCAGAGCTCCGAACCGGTTAGCGACTGGTACCGGCGTGGGCGCTTGGGTCGTCGCCAGTAAGCGCACCCCCTTTCTTACTGGCGACCAGCGTTTGGGTAGCGCTGTCCACCCTCAGTACAGTCTTTAGCGAGGTGGCCTGGCTTCCTGCAAGCAAAGCAGTGTCCCATTGCTCGCAGTTGGACACGCTCTTGGTCCGTCAGCTTGCGGAGGCCCTGACCACGGAAGCTGGGCACGGAACGCGACTCTCTACTGGCTGGTGGCCTCGACGCCGGTGGCCCTGACGACTGCTCCACGGTGTTTGCTGCCATGACAGCTTGCTCCAGGGTACGTGGATGCTCACGCATGACCCGTCGCTGGATGTGCGGCACTAGACCCCTGACGAACAGCAGCGCTCTGGTGTGGTGGTCGATTTCCGGCACTTGCAGGCTGAGGCGAGTGAAAGCAGCAATGTATGCGTCCAGCGACCCGCGCTGCGCTGCGGAAATTAGTCCCATACGCGATGTTTCCTCGTTGTGCCGTGGTCCGTACACATCGCCAAGTGCCGCTTTCAGAGCAGGCCAGTCGGAAAACACTTGGTTAGCTTCCAATGCCGCTATCAACCAAAGACGAGCGTTTCCAGTCAAAAATCCTGCCGCGTAGTCGACCCTCTGTGCCGCATTTGGGAGTGCCAACGACCGTAGGGCCATGTCCATTGCAAACGTCCATTCTTTGAATGTAGCGGAATCTCCTCCAAACACAGGCGGCTCTTTCGTAAGGCGGGGTGTTGGCTCCCACGGTTCCGAGTTCGGATGTATCGTTCGGTTTCCTTGGCTAACGCGCTGAGCGGTCTTGATATCGTTTATCAGCCGAACGACGAGTACGAGGAGCGTAAGCAGAGCGACCAGAACACCTGCCAAAAGCAGAGTAGTAACCATCCTCTGCTACCAGTGTAACAGGTTTAATCAAACTTGAAAAGTAAGAGGCCTGGTTGAGCGTGCCTCGACCAGTTATATGCAAAATGTGATAGTATACATGTGGCAATGGCGCCAATGAAGGTGCTAATAGACAGGCGTAAGACGCACGAGGTGCGAGGGAGTGTAAAGTTATAGAGAACAGGGGAAAACTGTTACACTGTCTGCTGAGGCAACGGCGCATCCTCCACCGGACTCCAATCTTTTTAGATACTCGGTTCGCACAGTGGGTTACATGGTCATCCCAAGACATGTTACTATCAAATGTGACACAATGTACCGGGCAGACTCCACAAGTGGCAGCCGAGTCCCGTTACAGTTCACCAAGAGTGGAGTATGCTTCTCAGGCAGGTTTCCAGAAATGGAGATCACCTGGCTTTTGGAAGCATTCAGGATCAAGCCACGGTCATTAACAGCAGTAGCTGAAGCTGACGCAGACAGAATTGCAGATCCTTCAGACTTAGTTGGTTTGCTGCAACTGAGACCAATGTCATCTGCAAACTGCAAAGACAAGGCTGGTCCAGCAACATAGGGTAAGGTACTCGGGCGATTAGTGCCCCTGGGGCACTATTGTTTTAATGTCCATCACAGCTGGGGCAGTATTCAAGAGAGGGCACTATTCAAGAGAGGGCAATATTTTTTCATTGCTGGTACATTTGCCTCATCAAGCATAAAACAAAGAAAAAACAGAGCCTAAAGTGTACTGTAAACGCTCACGACTCCACAGAAACGGGAACAAGACCTGCGATTTTGTTCCTGAAAACACAAGTGCAAAACAATGGCCAAGAACATTTATAGCAAAAGAACACCAAACTTGCACATGGATTTGGTCACAAGACTTGGGGGGGGGGGGGGGGGCGCCATTCAAGAAAGGGCTATATTTTTCGCTGGCTCTTGGAGACTAGGGCACTATTCGAGATAGGGCACTATTCAAGAGCGGGCTCTAATCGCGCGAGTACGGTACTTCCTGTGTGTATAGGTTGAACAGAATGGGGTCGAGCACAGATCCTTGGGGCACTCCGCAGGTGCAGCGAGTGACAGTGCTGTGTGATGGTCCGATACAGATACGCTGGGTCCGTATAAGACATGAACCACCGCGGGGCTGTGGCCGTGACGCCAACATTAAAAAGGTCGAGAATTAGTTGGTGATGTCTAACTTTATCAAATGCTTTGGACATGTCCAGTAAGCAGACACCTGTGTACATTTGTTTGTCCCGGGCAGTAAGGATACGGTTGATAATGAAAGCTAGCGCATCCTCAGTGGAATGGTCGCTGAAAAATGGAGGGAAGTGACTCCGTGATGTTCATGACTGATACAAGTTCCTTCTGCACCAGCTTCTCTAATAGCTTGGACAGGATTGGGAGAAGGGAAACTGTTGGTAAGTCTCCAAGAGTTGCAATGTATTGATGATGATATCCCTACCCATTTCTCATGAAGTTTTGTTTTGGTTTGCCTTTTCAGGTATCTGAACAATAACCAACTGAGCCAGTTGCCTGAAGGTCTTTTTGAAAAGAACACACAGCTGACATATTTGTAAGTGAAATAACTTCGTTGTCAGTGTCAGAATCCTTTGCGGTAAGAGAGTTCTCAGCAGTACCACTGTGTCAAATTTCATTTATAAGCTCGCCCAAGAATGTTTTGGTGAACTTCTCGGAAAGGCCAGTAACAAAAAAGCCGGGACAAATTGGATTGAACCAATTGTCAATTGATGCCCATTGGTGCTCCGCCTAGGCAGGGATTCCGGCGTGAGCTTGGCTTTGAACTACCCAGTTTAGCATGAAGAAGCAATGTAAGACTCAATAACTAACAAAAGAGGGAAAGATTAAAAATAAAAAAGCACTGGAAAGTGGACACATTTCAGGCTCTTGAACGGCATCTAGAAAGTTTGACTAATATACTTTCAAGCCTTATCAACTGGTGTCCAGACAAAGTCAAATGAACACTGGAGCGCTCGTTCTATCACCTTTCTACTTTATTTAAACTATTGGCCTTCTTCATTTCATTTTGCCTTTATTTCACCTGATGAAAGGCTTAAAAACACACCAGTGAAACTTCCGAGATGTCGTTCAAGATATCGTTCTTGTGTGTTCTTATTCTCTGTGTTATTGCATTCTTGTCTCCAATGAAACTGTTCATTTTTTCAAACCGTTCTGCACTTGTCCTGCTTGTTGATCAGCATCCACGACAGCCGCTGGTGCCTGTTTCACAGTGATAGCTTCACCTTTTTTGTATACTTTATTTATAGTGGAAATCAAAACAGCCATAATGCCTAATAACATTGGACCCACTGTGAATACAATTTTACAGGATATTGTGGAAAATTACAAAGCGTTAATGTTTTTTTTTCACGACTGAGCGTAGGGAAAGAGTGCAAAAACCGTATTTTTCACTCACAAATATTTTCGTGCATTTGCTCTTGTTCTGCGCAATTCGTTGAACCTGCCATCGTGGTCTTTGTTTTTCCTCGTGGTAGTTGAAGTTTTCAAGTGCCCCAGTTTTTAGTTTCCACTCGCAGCCACACAACACCGAAACACATCTTATTGATTTTCATAGTAGATCTACAGTGTAATAGTCCAGGAGAAAGAAACAACAGTGCCGTGCACCGTTTTAAATGCATCGGTCCAGCCTACAAAAGGTTCACATCGCCTGATTGGGCCTGCAAACTGAGGTACCAGTAACCTGACGTTTTTGGGAGCTGCAGATCGATCTGCGAAAGGCGGAAACAGCTAAAACGAGCTGAGCGTAATCCGCCACACACCAGCACGTTTGGTACCAAGTGGAGCAGAGTCACCGTTGACAGCTACACAAATCATTGCGTTTCGGATGACCAGCAAAGATTGTGGAAGTAAAATTTAGTTGAAAAAACAATTGGTCAATCAGTTCTGACATGTCGAGTCGACACCTACCTGTACCGCAACCATACTCCTCAAAGGCTTCAACGAGTCCTTGAGAGTTTTTCCGTGGGCGCAGTGATGAGTCTACGGAGTCGGTGATGAGCGCTGTCGATCAGAACATCGTGTCCCAAATGGTGGCGAAGCTCCTGGCAGAGACACGCTGAAAGTGCTGGCAGTGGTGACATCGCAGTCATACTGGAGTAGTTGTCTGATATCGTGGCGAAGGGCAGCAAGGTCGTAGCTGTCTGTTGACAACACCAACCGGAGTTCACTGGGACAGCCAGCCAGTTTTCGGACCGCACATGGACCCTAGAAGAGCAAGGTATCACCGGCATCATTTCGATGCAGACAACGAGCAGGGACTTCCTCCATGCACCTGTGGAGACTAGCGTGGTCAAGGCCGATCAGCGCCTCTACTCGCTTCTTCTGGCATTGCGGAAACTCGATGCCGTTGAGGTGCGGATACCGTGTCTGATCTACCGACCAATCATGAGGTGTAAGGTCACCGGTGACATTCTTGGCAGTCAGAACAGAGAACTGTGTGATAAATCTGCCATCCAGACTCTCGATGTGGCAGTCGACTGGCATGGTCTCTAGGGTCTCGATGCGGCCGTTCAGCGTGCTCACTGGCACTTCTTGTGTGGGAGCGCTAAGCTCTAGCTGTGCCGCAACGTCGCAATTAAGGTAAGACTGCGTGCTGCCGTCGTCCAGCAGCGCGTTGACCGTGACATTCTTGTCGCCATGGCGAAGTATGACGGGAACGGTTCGCAGTGCGACAGCTCTAACGCCGACACTACTCATATGAGTGGCCATGGAACTGGTGTCACCCCCCTCCGTGGAGGCGCTAGCCTGGAGCACTGGCTTCTGTGAGGCTCCATTCAAGTCTGTAGTAGTACTAGACTTTCCGTGCAGCAACGCGTTGTGGGTCTCTGTACAACCGTCTGCACCACAGGGCTGCGACCTGGAACAGTTATTTCCCAAATGACCAGAGTTAAGGCACCGGTAGCAAAGCTTGAGCGTCTGGGCCTTCTGCCAACGCTCTGCAATTGACAGCTTCCGATACTCTAGGCATTTCCAAACGGGATGGACCTTCGTGCAGATCGGGCAACTGCTGCTGCTCTGGGCCTTCTTGGGCTTGTCAGCGAAGAATGCCTGATGCTTCACTCCACCATGACTGGCCTGACCCTTCAGCGGCTGACTCTTTGCTGTTTGAGTGGACCCTACTGGAGTTGCCGTGGAGATACCTTGGATCGTCTCGTGGGCTCGTACTTGGAACTCGCTTTCCAGCTCCACCCATTGCAGAAGTGCTTCGACAGCTTCAGAGGTGCTTGTCTGGTGTATCCACTTCTGGTAGCTCAGCAGAAGAGACACCCCCAGCTTCTGTGTTAGCCGGACATAAAATGTCCCGTTAGCCAACTCCTGTGTCTGACCACTAGCCTTCAAATTCACCACAGCGACATCGAGTAGCTCCGCAAAACGCTCCAACTCCTGGGCGTTTGCAGATCTCATCGCTGGGAACTTATCAAGGGCTTCTAGATGCACTGCAACTAGACGTCGCTGACCACCGAACTTGCATTCCAGCCTATGTCGTGCTGCCTCATACGCCTCGGCCGAGTAGCCAAGAGTGTCGATAGACCGTAGTGCATCGCCCGCGAGGTATTTTCGGAGCTGCAATAACTTCAGCCCATCCGGAATGTTAGCGCAGCCAATGCACATCTCAAACGCCGCCTTCCACGTCTCATAACTGTTATTGCCGCTTGTCGCCCTTGAATGTTGGAATTGACACTTTCTCTAAATGTCGGTACAACTCGATTCTACGAGAACTACTCGCTTGCACTGGTAGACCACTCGGCGAAGTCATGGCAACTGGAAGACTGCTCGGCTGCACAAGACCATAATCTTCATGGTGTGACGCGTGACCCGGCTGACCAACTGGTATTTGTTGCATGACCGGATGGGTCGCTGGTGGTGTAGACATTATTCCAGACTGATTCGGCAAGACGTGCGTCGGGAAGTCGGGTGCCGACAAGAAACCCGGTGTTGTTCCAAATGAGAATGGATGTCCAGAATGGGTCGGCGGTGGAACGTAAAAATTTCCTGATCCCGGCACAAATGCAGGTGTAGAAGCCGAGAGAGTATGACTTGCAACTGCATGAGGCTGCACAGCTGGAGTTGGTTGCGTCCGACGAGGAGGCTGCACTGCAGGAGTTGGTTGCGTCTGGGCTGACTGCACGAGTATGGTCGTCGCCGACAATGCTCTGGATGGTACACTGACCCCACTTGAACTACGGTTAGGGGCAGTGATTACGTTTCTTGCCGAAGCTGCCCACGTAGATACCGGTGCCTGCTGCGCGCCAGACTGAGCAATGCCACTTGCCTGGTTACTCCCTGCAGACTGATGACCAATGTTCAGCGGTGTTGGCATGGTTTCGGCGGTTGCCATGGCAACCGGGTGAACTTTTGACAAGAGCTCCGCCGTAAACGGTAATGTAGGTACAGACGACAAAGAGACCGGAAAGGACACCTTAATCGTGCGTGATTTGTCTGTACTCACATTGGTTGCCATGGTTGCACGTGACGATGACACAATTGGCTGGCTGTCACTGACGCTTGCCGTGTCAGCCCCAGGCGGTTCGTCCTGTCTATCACGATGGTCACCACTTGGAGTTCCCAGGGGGAGTGCCGATGCATTTGCTCCCAGAGGTGCTCCCGAGGAAACGGCAGGCGGCTGGGTAGTCCCCTCAACAGTCGCACTCTGGCTGACACTGGATGCAGACACATTCCCACAACGACTGAGACTCTTCTCAGCACACATGTTCTGTATTTCCTCAAGGGCCTTGCTAGGAGAGTGTGGCGGTGTCAACATCCTCCCACTTGCTCTGGGATTCTCCAAGGTCTGCGTCAACATTGCCTTTACTAATCTTATGTTCTTGGCTCTGGTGATGGAAGCTGGCGAACTTTCACCCGTTCTGGCTCGACTTGGCCTCTTGCTTATTTCTGCCAGCACGTCGCTGGTCTTGCTGACAGCATCGCTGTAGTCGACGTTGATGACCTCTATCTCCTCGTGCACTTTTTCTGTGGGTAGTCCTAATTCTGCGTACCGAGTTACCAGTTTTAGACACACATCCACAGCGTTGTGAACACTCTCAGTCACGTCATCCAACAACCTCTTGATCTCTTTCGAGGTCGCGTCCTCTTCGTAGATCCTGCTGAGCAACAAGTTTCGATTTCGTGTGACATGGAACTTGGCCTTGGCCTTCGCTTTCTTGCACTCCTCAAGATCCATGTTGTCCAGCGAAAACCCGAAATGCTACTCACTACCACACTGCGCTTGGTGAAGGAACCACTACTTGACAACCATCCTCTGCTACCAATTTGTCATGCAGGTTCTCACACGCAACGGGAAAACTTCGTGGTAGTAAATTAGATTTGGCAAAGAACAAAAGACAACCCTTTCTCTTCGAAGAACCGAACTTGCCGAGCCTCATCGAAAGCTAACTCTGAAAAATCCCTACACTAGTACGGGATTCAGCGCAGAGCAAAAAATAATAATGAGTCATTAGGCCACACCAAGTTAATTCTATGTTTCGCGTCGGATATTTTCTGGAAAAGGCACGCGGGCGGGCGGAAAAAAACAAA